TGTTTCCCAAAAATGACCGATTTTCAACAATTGCGAGTACCCTCGTAGGTTAAAATATCCTTTTATTTGCCGAAATCCGAATGGGCATTTTTAGAGTCGATTTCGTATGAATTATCTACTTTTAATTGTCAAGGTACAAGAAGGACATTTTTTGTATTTCTGAATTGTAAACAGTCGGCTGTAGTAGTGGTATCCCCACTTTGTCGTACTAGTCTTCCATCTTTCTTTACCGAAAAAGCATAAATTGATGGAAAGCTAAAAATGCCGCCTCTTGACTCCCGACACCCGAGAAGTACTGATCTTTCTAAAAATTATAGTGACGACGCCGTATAGTGCCGTGACCGTAAATAAGTAGTTGGTTAACCCGTTGGATTTGTTAAGGTAGGAACCGTATATTTTTTTTATATTGGCTTTCATATAATTAATTGGGACACCCGTGTTACAAATCAAGAATTTTGATTCATGCCCAGCATTTTTTATTTCATTCCTTAGTGGAAACCGTTGGCAATTTTTTTATAAGAAGCACCCAGTATTTTTCATGTAAATTTCTCTTTTCTTTTATTTACTCATTCAATTGTATTTGAATCATTCCGTTCTCCGTCCACAACTAATTATTGAACGAAACCGACGATTTCTGTAAAATCAATTCACACACCGTCAAATCTCAAAATAATTTTTACGTTAAACATTGTATTTTTCTCCCAAACACCGCGCTGAAACCTATTCTCATTCAATAATTACCAGAGCGCCGCCGATCGCCTCGTCTAAGATACAGGGACGTTCCGAAAACTTTGATTTCATTTATTTGCTTGCATTTAATAACAGTCGTATTTCAATTGTTTTCGAGTGTATTAATTTATTTTTAATAATCCATTTTCGCGTTAATCAGGGGGTGATAGCGGTATTCGCTTGCTTCCCCCTGTCGATGGTCAGAGCTGTTTCAGCCCCTAGTTTTTTTTTTGTTTTTTAACAGCTCGTGGGAAAGGGTTTCTCTCTTGTGGAAGCTATGGACTACCAGATGTCTGCATGAGAGAAACTTTCAACCGTTAATATTTAATTAGTTTTCATTGATAATAATTTATTTTTAATCAATTTTCCGCATATAGGGAGCCGTTAATATTTAATTAGTTTTCATTGACAATAATAATTTATTTTTTATCCATTTTCCGCATATAGGGAGCCGTTAATATTTAATTAGTTTTCATTGGTAACAATTTATTTTTAATAAGTTTTCGCATATAGGGAGCCGTTCATATTTAATTGCCGTTGTATTAATTTTTGTAAATATATATTTTAGTACCTATTCCTGTGTTTCTCTTATTACTGGTTCTTAACCGTTCTCTTTCAGGGTACCGTAGGGTACGAGGTGTAAAAGAGATAAGTGTTTTATTTTTTTGATTAATTCTAGTATAGTGATTACCTAGCAGTGACCGCCTGGAATTATTTTTACCTCCACTGAGTTCACCTTGAGTACACTCTGGTGTACCACAGGGTCGCAGAGCAAACTGCGATATCAAAACTGGCGCCTGAGCAACTCCTATTTGGGAATCACCTTCATAGCGCCACACAGACTCGCTGATTCACTGTAGGTGAACCAGGAGCCTGTCACAAATCCATTGGCAAAAAAATAGGCGCGGAAGAAAGTCTCTTGGTAGTAGAGATGGCACACGTTGAATATGAAACGGATACAACTGCTGTTCTTTAAGAATTCTAAATACAGTTGCTTACATTTAATATGTTGGCAATTTTTCGAGTACTTGTTTCCGGTGACTCCGCAATTAACTCGAGAACTGCTTCTTCTAGTTGCACAGTTCGTACTTCTCGAGGGCGCCCGCCGTCAGCCGTTTGTTTCTTAAATGTACCATTTTCGCGCAAACGTTGGTGAAGGCGAGCAAATATTGTGTGATGGGGTACCCTACGTCCTGGATACAACTCAGCATACAATCGTCGAACTTGCCGACCATTTCCATTACTTCGACCATAGACAAAATGCATGTCTGACAATTCCACGTTTGTATAATTTTCCATTGTTTTCGATAAAAGAAAAGTTAATTACTTATTAATATCAATGTTATACCAAACTAAAAGCTTAATAATGAAGAAACGCTAATTTGACATTTCGTTAAACTATTAGGCATTCCAACGACCTGTCAAACAATACCTGCCAGTGGGAAGGTCTCGTATATCTAAGGGGGGTAGCGACATAGTCTTGCATCTTGAACGCTATTTTTATTCGAAATATCAGTCGTCAATCCTGCCAGTTTTTAAAAAAATGTACAAGCAGTTTTTTTAATTAATATTTTTGTAGTGTTCGATATAAAATATTTAAATGTAATCCATTATTCATGATTTTACGTATTGTAGATAGAATACATCGTATGTCGCAACCGTCAGATCTACCAAACCTGCCCACTGGCAATTCATTTGTTTGGAATGCCTAATTCGTATTTAACAAAATGTTGACAATAGCCTACTAGTACTAGCGTCGCTATTAGATAATAATGTATTAAAGAAATGGAAAATACGCGTTAAGATATTTTATTTTTTTGCATAAAAACGGCGCCCCACACGAAAAAAAGGCCAAAGATATTTTTTGTGACAAATTTAATGAGGAATTCAAAAATAATTTTTAATTTGAAATATCTCAGTGGCGTACCATTTTTTTCTTTAAATGAATTGAGATCATTACCCGTATGCACGCCAATGATGAACATAAAATTCTTAATTGCATGTCAAAAATTGCGGAATAACTACCTCTTAAAATCCACCAAATTTCATTTGCATATCTTGACCGGTTTCAGAGCAATAAACAAATCGTCAGTTTTTAAGAAAAACTTTAACACCTCGTATTCGGAAAACGAAGCATTTTCGGACATACGTTTATATAGCAAACTGTCATTTTTTCATGCTGAATCACCCCCTGAAGTTTGTCGCACTTATTTACTAACACCCTGTATAGGTAATATAAACATCTTTGCAAAAAGGATAAAAGTTCAGTATATTTTAGCTTTGGTTGTTGCTTTTTGTGAGAAAATAGTGGTTTCAGGGTGTAAGAATTTATAAAAAGTATACTGTTGTGAAGATCACTTCAATCTAATGTCACTTACCTTAAACACATTTTTTTATAAGGTAACATATAATATAATTATAAATATGGTCATGATGCATTTATTTATATAATTTATTATGTAAGCAAACTGATGTAAAAACATTATATAAAATATAAACATGCAAAAGATGATTAGGTTAGAAATGAGAGAAAAGGATAAAAGTAATTTTCCAAGTGCAGAATTTCACCGGAACATATGAATCCCTATACTCTGTTTTTAAACTAAGAGGAGCGATTTGAATTTAAGTTGGCAATTCTGTAGCCTTCTAATTGGTCAGATTACAGTCAGTTTCACACATTACTTTTTAGGTTCTGACATTTTATAATTTGATATCGCATCCATTACTTAGTTTACTTTATTTCGTAATTAATAGTTCTTTAGTAAGCAATTGTATTGAAAATCTACAATTATGGATCCTTCTACACTGAGTACTATTAAAGGTAGCAATTCCTGAAAAGCCTTACAAGAAAGGGAAGACACCTTATTATTTTACATACTGATTCTGAAGGTTTTGTAAAAAATGCATTATTGGTTTTTGAAGGTAAAAAGATGGGAGATTACCATGAAGAGATGAATTCCGAAGTATTTTAGAAAAAAATAATTTTATTACTGATTTTTTAAAACTAAAAATTGATGAATTTCTAACCAAAATGATTAAAATGTAACTAAATATTCAAGCACATTTTATTTATTAGAATAGAATAAAACTATTTACAAAATTGTTATAACATTTAAAACACCATCTACTAATTTAGGGATAATCTTAATTTGGCACAATGCGTTAACATTACTTTCACAAAAAATATTTTAAAAATACTTAAAATACATAGGTATAATAATAATATAATAATAATAATTTATTTACAAAATAACGGTAAATACAATTTGAAATATTACAATATTATCTAGTACATAGGTATGTATGAATAGTTCACTTTAAAAAATATATGTTGACATGTAGTGTTATGAAAATGTTGGTTCCAGTTTTCAAAACAAATTGACTCATAGGCCTGTAAACTTTTGAATGCCTTTATTTGCCCTCTAGCGCATTAACCATGGGTTAACACTAAATAAACCATAATATCCACATTACTCATAGAAGAGATACCAGTTACTGTGTGATCCACTTGTCATTCACTGATTAACTTTTACTTTTTATACCTATAACAAATATATCCTTAAAAATGTAAACAGATCTTTATATTTTATACTAACCTGGCTACATCTGGATATACCATTAACAATTTTCTTAAATATTTAATATCCATTTTAAAAAGATCAGTTATTCTCAAAAAGTCGATTTCAAAAGCAAGAAAAAAGTATTTCTGACATCAATCAACAACCATATTTACTTTAATTTGACAGTGACATTTCGTTTTAGACACACATTTCAGATCACAATAATGTGAAATTTGCGACCGTTGTCTGGGACCAATTAAAAAATTACTCCTATGACATTTATTCGTTTCTTAACCGCTCATTGGCTGTTCACCAACTAAGGCCCATAAAGATAATAATTATTTCATAAATTTTGAACACGACTATATTTCGAAACTCGCTCTTAGTAACAAATCTAGTTACTTTTCCCTGTGTTAATGCGTCTTTTCAATTCGCTCCTCCTAGTTTAAAAACAGAGTATAGTAACAACCTTACACCATTGCCAAATATCCAAAAAGAAATGTGGTACTTTAAATACCTTACTTTCTTTTCCAATTTTAACTACATAGAAACATTTTTTAAGGGACAAAAATTTGGCAGGTTGTTTCTTGTGTCATAAGAATCAATTATATTGAATAAAATTTTAAGATCTCTTTGGTTTCTTCCAAACAACAATCTGACAGTTAATCTTTTACTATTTTTGATGGATTCTACCATAGATTATTAACTTACAGCTCTTAATTCCAGTAGTTTTGCATCTTTTTTTTCTATTAACTTTTGTGCATGTTGTCTCTTTACTTCATACATTCTTGTTCCAGCAGCTTCTTCTACCATAGCTAAAATCTAATACAAGGAAAATTTAAAATACAATGTCTTCTAAATAAAGCACTTAGGTTTGAAACTCTAATTTTGCTGTATCTATCTAATTGTACCACTTTTTTGACGTATCAGACAATTAGGCATATTAGTCTAATTCGTGCAAATATGATGTAGGCATAGTGATTTTATAGACTACCTGTACAAGTAGGTTTTAATACGATTTACTTACTTCTGGAGGCTTCATATTTAATACTTTGGTAATCTTTCCCTGCATAATCAAGAAATGTGGATTATTAACATTCAACTGCACTGAGCAAAACAAGTCTTGTATCTTTTTATTTGGAACATTGGTACCATTTATTAAGTATTTATTTTTGCCACCCATTACTATTTGTCTGGTAATTATGATTTCTTTATATTGTTCAAATCCGGGAGGACATTGTGCTGAATTACTATTATCAAAAATAATAGATACGGTTGCTCTATTAACACCGGCCTGTCCACTTTTATAAATCAAATCTTGAAGACTAGCAGCTCTAACCTATAAAATTTTGATTCAGACTCAATTTAATATGTTTATTAAATTTAAATATTATTCTTACATGAGTGAGGTTCGATATTCCTAAAACAAAACAAATGGAATCTAAGATATTAGATTTCCCACTGCCATTCAATCCTGTTATCGCGTTAAATTGCTCATCAAACCCGTGTATTTCTGTTCGTTGTCCGTACGATTTGAATCCATCTAGTACAATGGATTTTATATACATCTTTGAAACGGTTTCAATGAAACCTAAAAGTAATAATTGATATAACAAAAATTATTTGAAACTTAAATTTCGCCAGTTTAATATTTTAATAAAACGCGAATAAAACAACCGTTACCAGGCTTTTCAAAATACTGTCAATGTCATCATTGTCATCACAATAAATGTCATGTCATTAGGTCTTTTCCTTTGCATCGAAAGTGTAGCACTGGGCTACACCAATTCTGAAAATATCGTTCCATATATACAAATTGTATGGATGGAACGATATTTTCAGAAGTGACGTAGCTCAGTGCTACACTTTCGATGCAAAGGAAAAGACCTAATAACAACTGTCAGGAATTTGTTACGTTTGTTGATTTGTCACATTGTGTTTGTCACTCCGAGTTTGCTCCACAAAGCACCTATCCTGCTTTATTGTTTATACTTTATATCCTTCCCACACCTTCCTTCCTACACTCAATCCTCCGTGGTTTATAGGTTGACAACATGACATGGATATTTATTTATTTACTTTTATAATTATGTCAGAAAAACTGTCCAAATAATCCAAACATGAAAATTGATTTTAAATATCAAAGTGCCAGTATCAATAAATCAATAAAAAATTAATCAAAGAAAAAATGATAGATCAATTAAACGGTATTGTAACAATTGAATATTTTTTTCCACCATAAATAAATAAGTGTATCTATAAAAGTTACTTAGGAAAGTGCTTTGATTTATTTTATAACTTAAATTACTTTTCTTGAAAGCTGCGTCCTTATTATTTTCGGAATCGATAAATTCACATGTCATCCTCTGAGCATGCTCCAGAGTTTGCTAAGTTAGCATCCCCATCATGCTACACCCCTGAATGTGGGCAGAGGGTAGATCAATGGATTACTTTGATCAATATGAAGATTGTGCAATTTTGCAATATTATTAAGTAAATTACAATGAACGAAATATAGTGAAATTTTATATATAACACAACAGTTTTAAAGAGGGTGAAAAGGATGACAAGTCAATTAAATGTGATAAAATGTGATGAGTGGGCACCAGCAAGTGAATTGTGGTTTTTAATTTATTTTAAGTAGCTTCACTAATAAACATGCAAACTTTAAGAAAGAAAACAAGCCCTTTAAAATGTAAGTAACATTTTACTAGCAATTTGTGTTTGAACTTAACCACACTGCTTGTACAAAATACTGTGCCCTGTAAAGTGTTCATTGAGTTTGCCTCAGGGTTCTAGTATTGGCCTCATTTTGTATTTAATATGTATAAATTTTAAAATGTATAAATTTATTTATATTTTTAAATCTGCAAAACTGCAGTGCATATACCTACACAATGCCTACACAGTTAATGTTATCCTAGATATTTTTTCTGTGATTAACAATTTTAAATACCAATTTAACTTTTTAATTAACATATTAATTCTTTTATATTATGTACATATCTTTTAGAATGGCTTCTTTAAAACAGACTCTCAGCTAGTGTTATCAAGGCTGTTGTCACTTTGTCTTGTTCAAAGTATATTTTAGAATTTATTATATTTAACAAAACCAAAATAATAGTGTACCTATATAACAGTATATTTAATGTAATGTACCTAACAATATGATCATTCTTTGATCATTTTATTACTATTTTTTCTTAACACATTTTCTGCCAATTTGTAGTTAGGATTTTTGGTTAGGAACGACTTCGACTTATCTTGTAGTTTACTTGTTCATATTCATACAGCTGTGATTAAATGCATTGCATGTCAGTGTGAATATTAATAGATAGCTTCTGGGAAGAGGACAAAAAATCAAGGCTGGCTTATATAAATAAATTCAAAATCCAAATTATTTATTTTGATGAAAATACCAACTGCTGCATGATGTTTTAGTCTTATTTTGCAACAGACAATGTATTAGGTAATAAATAAACAGAAAAGATAAAATTCAAAATCAAGAAACAGTATATTTATTATTTGTGATTTACTACTAACCAATTTAAATATTAGATCTCTGACTATGTACGAATTTACACCTAGTTGGCTTCTGTGAAGAGCTTTCTGTTACATATGAGATACTAATTCGTAAGATTACCTTAAACCCATTCTCTATCCTTTTCGATGATTACTATGTACTATAATCAGAGTTTTTAATAATACAATATATTTAAATTCAATCGACTTTTTAGACCAAAATCTTGAAAATTAATGTGGCAGTCAAATTGTTAATAATAGGTAGTTGAGAACCTTAAATACATATATAATTGTCTTGTTCAAAGTACCTATATGTATTTTATAATTATTTATTATAAGGAAGGCCCCATTATTTTTAACAAAACCAAAATAAGTAATAGTGTACCTATAAAATGTAACAATATATTTAGTGTAATGTACTTAACAATATATTTATATGATCACTTTATGATTATTTTCTTCTTAAAATGAGAATCTTAAATACATAAAGAATAACAAACACCAGGTGCAAATACTACTTAAAACAACTGAGAAACCTTTTAGAATATAATATACTTTATTTGCTTAAATAAACACAGTTTCTAGCATCGTCAACATCAAATATCATAAAAAATATACCTATATTTTATAATTACATTAAAAAAATATTGGTGGCATCAAATTAGACATTTTAGGTAGTTAAACATTTTTACTTCACATTGTAGTAAACACTTTTTCTTGAATTTATGTTGCAAATGCACTCAAATCAGCTTCATAAAATTCTTTGATTAAATATACTGTGAGTTCAACTAATAAACCATTGACTTTATTTTTGAATTTACTTTCCTTAAAAGATTTAAACTGTGGAGGAAGTTTATTATATAGTTTACCATATAATACTTTTATCAGTTAGAGATTAATCGGTGTTGTGGTATTTAAATATAAAGAATGTTTATTTTACTGTTTAGTGTAGGGGGGGGACAGAAAAAGTAAAAACAATGGAACAATCTTGTTCCAAGGATTATGTTTATAATTCAGGATTGACTTAACATAAGGCTTTAAAACAGAACAAAAGGCTTTCAAAATTACATTAAGGAAGTAAATTTGAATTATTAATACCTTCGAAAGGTATTCAAAACACCAATCATAGGTGCAGTCATAGCTGGACTGGCCACAGTCTGAATGTGTGACTTATCTTGCAGAGCTCGGGGGCCCTTTTAGACTGTTGAATGTATGGGTAGAATGCATTAGTTGAATGAATAGGGACAAGGGTGATGTACAAATAGTTATACAATAAACCCATAATGCCGCAGTTCCGCCATGTGAACCCCAGAGGAGGGAAAGGCAAAGTCTGATTGAGGAGAGCCAGCTGGAACCCCTCGGTGAAGCAGAAGGTGGAAAACAAAAACAAAATGCTTAGAATTTAGCTGTTAATTTTATACTTGTCTCTTATTTGTCAATTTGTTAATATTATAAACTTGATTTTTCTAAGAGGCATTTAAAAGTTTAAAAAGATAATTTATATCAATTAACCACTGAAAGTGAGTCTTAATGAAAATATGTTTAAAATTTGAGCATATATATATAATATGATCACAACCATATTTTCTACTAGACCTCTTTTTATTTATAAGAAGATTATCTATGAAAAATATTTTGTTATGTTAAAATATGTACCCCCAAGATTTTCGGACTATGCCCCAAATTTAATCATTTTACCGCAGGATGGTTTAAAGCCTAAATTTAAAATTTGGCGTTTTTCTTTTTAACCGTTTTTGAGTTTTCTTCAAAATTCTAAATTTACTTTTTCTCAGATATCTCGAATAGGGCCCATTTTAGAGAAATTATGCATAGAGTAAGGTTTGTATAAAATGATATCACAAACAACTTTTATTTGAATCATTTTCTTAAATTTTTTTTTATTTTGTCAAATTTCTCAAATACGGACACTGTTTTAGGAAAATTTTGTATAGAACAAAAATTATAGAGAATAATATAAGAATTAACTTTTATTTGAAGAATTTTCTTCTCCAAACGTAAATAACTTTTCATAAAATATAAAAACGATCCCCTATAATGTACCCCCTAGATGTTCCGTCACTGTCCAAAATCTTATCATTTCACGGCAGGCCGGAATAAAACTTAAGTTTAAAATGGTGTATTTCTCTGTATCCGTTCATGAGTTATCGAGTATACACACACACGCACGCATCCACACATGCTCACATGCGCAAATGCACACACACATGCACATACTCACGGATTCAGAGGATCCCAAAATGTAAAAATCCGTCGAAAACGAGGTCAAAAAAAAATCATGAAAAAAGATTTTGCCTTCTGAACTCGAACTTTCCTTGTAGCAAATCAGAATTCAAACTAGTTCACCGTAAAAGCTTATTGGTCCTTTTTGGTTAACTTATAATTAGATACCTAATATCAATATCTCAAAGTGGTCTGAAGTAAATTAAGAAGAAATGAGAAAAACAGTTGGTCAACCACAGGATCTTTAATTAGATTTATTCAAAAATGCTCTTTCGACCTTATAAGGTTATTTTCAGGCAAATAAATTTTTTTTTATTTTCTTTGGTGTACCGCTTCAACATCTAAGGTCATTAGCCTAGTGTCCTATGTAGGTTATGGTTTGACTAGTAGTCTAATACTCCATAGTGCAGGAGTATTAGTACTCTAATACTCCTACACCCCTACAGACAGGCCTTGTTACTGTTTCCATGCACCACATTATAAGTAGATGAAATTAATGTGGAGCAACCCACCCTCCCCATCTTACAGATAGTTAGGCATGGATTAATGAATTACTAACTAGAATCCTACTTAATATATAAATGCGAAAGTTTGGATGGATGTTTGTTGCTCAATCACGCAAGAACGGCGGAGCGGATCTGGATGAATTTTGGCACAAAGATAGATTGAAGTCTGGAATAGCACATAGGCTACTTTTTCTCCCGGAAAAATATACAGTTCCAGTGGAATAGATTTGTCTTTGACAGACATGATTTTTTGCATAGTGGCAGTGAAACATGAACATTTGAAATACAGCTACTGAGCATAAATAAATAATGATGTGTTTCAGAGTTTTTGGATTTTCACATTTTAAGAGGGGGAACGGGGGTTAAAAGTTTATATGGAAGTATCGATTTTTTAAAGATAGGAACTTGAAAATTGGAATTATAGCTACTCATCACAAATAAATAATGGTATGTTTCAGGATTTTGATTTTCATATTTTAAGGGGGAAAGGGAAAGAAAGGGGAGACATAGGGGGAAGGTTTGCATGGGGATATCGCTTTTTTAAAGGTAGAAAATTGAAAATTAGAATTGTAACTACTTCTTATAAATAAATAAACATTAGGGCGGAAACGGGAGGTGAAAGTTTGTTTGAGACTTTCGGTTTTTTAAAGGTAGGAACTAGAAAATTAGAATTGTAGCTACTCATTATTAGTAAATAATGACGTATTGTAGCTACTCATTATTAGTAAATAATGACGTATTTCAAGGTTTTGGGATTTTCACATTTTAAGGAGTGGAAATAGGGAGTATCGCAAAACTAAATAATAAATAAAAATGAATAAACAAAATAAAAATAAATAGATAAAAAAAGTAAATAAAAATAAATCAAAATAAATAAATAAAAATTAAAAAAAATTAAAATTGAAAAGATTATTAAAAATTAATAAAAATTAATAGAAATTAATAAAAATTAAAAAAACTAATAAAAATTAATAAAAAAATAATATAAAATTAATAAAAATTAATAAAAAATAAAAATTAATAAACATTAATAAAAATTTATAAACAAAAATTTATAAAAATTTATAAAAATTAATAGAAATTAATAAAAATTAAAAAAACTAATAAAAATTGATAAAAATTAATAAAAAAATAATATAAAATTAATAAAAATTAATAAAAAATAAAAATTAATAAACATTAATAAAAATTTATAAACAAAAATTTATAAACAAAAATTTATAAACAAAAATTTATAAAAATTTATAAAAATTTATAAAAATTTATAAAAATTAATAAAAAATAATAAAAATTAATAAAAATTAATAAAAATTTATTAAAATTTATAAAAATTTTTAAAAATTTATAAAAAAATTTTAAAAATTTATAAAAATTTATAAAAATTTATAAAAAATAAAAAATTAATAAAAATTTGTAAAAATTAATAAAAATTAATAAACATTTATTAAAAAAAAATAATAAAAATTATTAAGGATTAATAAAAATTATTAAAAAAACTTACCGGTATCGCATGAAAAAATTTATCTCAAGTAATTTTTAATAATTGAGATTTGAGAAATTCCAGCGAAGCGGGATCCGGTCAGCTAGTAAAGATATAAAATGCCTAACATTCTTTAGTATACTCTTTCACAGTTTAACACTTCCTCCCATTTACTTTAGTTTTTTTTTATAATCAATAGGTTTTGTTACTAAAAATTTCATGTTGATATCGCTTTTAGTTTTTGATTTTTGATTTTTCTTTAAATTTGAACCCCCCTTAATCCTTTATAGAGCTTGATTTTTGCTAAAAATTTCAAGTTGATATCGTTTTTGATTTTTTTTTATTCAACACCTCTTAACCCGCCGTTTTTATTAATATTTTTTTTTAAATTAATAGATTGTCTTTTGAGTTAGGATTTTTTAAATATTTCAACCCCCCTTAACCTCCTCATTTTTAATGAGATTTTTTTTAGAATGAAGCATCCTCTTATAAAGCTTAATTTTTCGTGAAAATTTAAATTTCTTATTATTTTTAGTTTTTGATTTATGATTTTTTTTTTTAATTTCAACCCCTCTTAACCCCCCCAATTTTTAATCAGATTTTTTTTAAATCGATAGGCTTCGTCACCTTATAGAGCTTGGTTTTTCCTGAAAATTTCAAATTGATATTATTTTTCGTTTTTTACTTATCGTGCGGACAAAAAACGTACATCGAACGGACAGACGAACGGGCATTTTTAAAAGTTGTTTAAAATTTGATGAAAAGCATTTTTAAATTTGGATCAATATTAAAAATTTTGGTTTCACGAAAACAGAAACCTATAATACTTGCGCCTACTATATACTGTGTGAAGAGTATAATAATAGATAATTAAAATATTTAATTATATAAAGTTACATTACAGAGAGGTAAAAAGAAATCTAGTGAATCTGCCAGGGCTGTCGACTTTAATGATGTCAAATTTATGCCTACAATGATATTTAACTTCTATAGCAAAGCTTAAATTTTACTTCTTGCATCTAAACTTACATTGTATAATGAAATATACTATTTGATCAAGTAAATTCCCATAACTAAAGCATCATAAGTACGCAAAATATTTAAAACAATTTTCAACTTTGCCGTAAAATTTGCGGAATATCCAGTTCAAAAGTATTGTTTATAGCTTTGGTACTACTTCCCATTCTAATAACATAACTAGTATCATCGTTTATAAAATTGTTTCTTTAAAATTTTTTATCTATTGTGAATGGAACAACGTTGTACGGTTTATTAGAAATTAATACATAATCTTCAACTGAACTATGAAGCAAAAATAACTAAATTTTCCATATTTAGGAAAACAAAATAGTTGATAAATTACTCATCAACATCACTGAGACAATTTTATTCATGCCTTTAGTTTCGATTTCATTGTTTCAAAAATTAGAGGTCCATATGTTTGAAACCAATGGTAAGAAAACATATTTTGCACACTTATTTATTTATTTTTATTTATTTATTTATATATTATCTACGGATTTATTATTTTAACATGTTAAAAAAATATAAATGTGAAACTTAAGATTATATATAAATAAATTTAATTTATTTAAATTTTTTAAGTGATGTATTGAATGATGAGGTAGATGTTCCAAATAGATCAATCATGTTCTTATATTTGTTAGCTGTTTGTGTCATTCTTGTGATCGGTTTATTTTGACCATAATTGGAAATGCTATATGGATCATAATTCCTAGTTCTTCGGTGGTTTACATTGAAGTTAATTAAATTAAGTTTTTCGGAATCTTGAATATAACCATTTATTATTTTATGTAAGAAACACAGGTCTAATTCGACTCTTCTGTGTTCTAATGTTGAAATATTAAGATTTTCACGTACATCATCCTCTCTGTATTATTCACCCCCCATTGTATAAGCACAAACTCTTAAAAATTTGTTTTGTACTTTTTCAATTGACTATATCACGAACTAGAGAGCAATAAAGTAATCTATTCTACATGTAGATGTATTAAAATCTTCTGAATATTTTAAGATCGTCGAAAAATATCAGACACTGACTATTTTGAATTACTTTAATTAAATAATTAATAAACAAATTAAAGAGTAGTGGGCCTAGGTGAGAACCTTGAGGAACACCCGAGGTTACTAATACACACGTTGATATGCAGTTCTCGTATTTAACAAATTGACATATAATATAATGTTTTAGATAAGAATGAAACAACTCGATTTTTGGGAGATGGGGTAAGTTTTAAGGCGAAGCTGATAGGGATTTTAGAAGTATCTGAAGCGAGAGGGGATAGAATGTGTCAAGAAGCATTGTCGGATTTAAAAATGGCGATAAGGGCTGCTGGAGAACACAAACAAAGAATTACTATTAATATTGCAATTGATGGATTACGTCTAAGGGATGAAAAAACAGGTGTAAGTTTTCAAATAAATTAATACTTTATTATTATTAATACATCCATAATAGTGAATTTTCAATGCTAGATATCCTTTTTTTGTATATCTCTCTGTTTTTAAACTAAGAGGAGCGATTTGAATTTAAGTTGGCAATTCTGTAGCCTTCTGATTGGTCAGATTACAGTCAGTTTCACACATTACTTTTTAGCATGAACATCAGCTAATAATTGATATTGTTGACAGTTCTGACATTTTATAATTTGATATCTCATCCATTACTTAGTTTTTTACTTTATTTCGTAAATAATAGTTCTCTAGTAAGCAATTGTATTGAAAATCTACAATTATGGATCCTTCTACACTGAGTACTATTAAAGGTAGCAATTACTGAAAGGCCTTACAAGAAAGGGAAGATACCTTATTATTTTACATGCTGCTTCTGAAGGTTTTGTAGAAAATGCATTATTGGTTTTTGAAAGTAAAAAGATGGGAGATTACCATGAAGAGATGAATTCCGAAGTATTTTAAAAAAAAATAATTTTTTTACTGATTTTTTAATACTAAAAATTGATGAATTTCTAACCAAAATGATTAAAATGTAACTAAATATTCAAGCAAATTTTATTTATTAGAATAGAATAAAACTATTTACAAAATTGTTATAACATTTAAAACACCATCTACTACTTTAGGGATAATCTTAATTTGGCACAATGAGTCAACATTATTTTCACAAAAAATATTTTAAAAATACTTAAAATTAATACATAGGTATGTATGAATAGTTCACTTTAAAAAATATATGTTATGAAAATGTTGGTTCCAGTTTTCAAAACAAATTCTGACTCATAAGCCTGTAAACTTTTGAATGCCTTTATTTGCCCTCTAGCGCATTAACCATGGGTTAACACTAAATAAGCCATAATATCCACATTACTCATAGAAGAGATACCAGTTACTGTGTGATCCACTTATTCACTGATTAACTTTTACTTTTTATACCTATAACAAATATATCCTTAAAAATGTAAACAGATCTTTATATTTTATACTAACCTGGCTACATCTGGATATTCCATTAAATATTTAATATCCATTTTAAAAAGATCATAGTTATTTTCAAAAAGTCGATTTCAAAAGCAAGAAAAAAGTATTTCTGACATCAATCAACAACCATATTGACAGTGACATTTCGTTTTAGACACACATTTCAGATCACAATGTGAAATTTGCGACCGTTGTCTGGGACCAATTAAAAAATTACATCTATGACATTTATTCGTTTCTTAACCGCTCATTGGCCGTTCACCGACTAAGACCGATAAAGATAATTATTTCATAAATTCTGAACACGACTATATCTCGAAACTCGCTCTTAGTAGCAAATCTAGTTACTTTTCCCTGTGTAAATGCGTCTTTTCAATTCGCTCCTCCTAGTTTAAAAACAGAGTATAGTTTATTTACATTTTATTTATAACATACTAATTAATTTATATAATATTTAGGCACTACTATAACTCAATTCTAATTTATTTATTACAATTTGTCTTTACTATCCAACATTTAAATTGAATCTTCTCTCCTATCAACAAAGTTGCGCCTATTTATATAAAGCCAGCTCTGTACCAGAACACTCTAGGCGACCTAGAAGCTTCGGGAAGTTGCTCTTTATGACTCATACACAGCATTGCAATCATTCCGGTAGTTTCGAGAAGCGGTCCGTTTGTCTCTATATGGCCAGCTCTAGACTTCATACCGCGGGCTAGGAGTAAACAAAGTACAGAGACTGCTCCGCGCCACATTGCCCCCTCCTTAAGAAATAGTTCCTCCCGGAACTAAAACTGAATGATTGTATCTGCAACTGGATCCTCTTTTACAATTTCCCGTTGGATGAAAGTAACAAGGGACGGTCTTTTCTATAACCTGAACGGTGGCAGACCAGTATTTCAACCTGGGTATCTTGGAAGATTACTTCTAGCATGTTTCTAATGATCCTCCAATTTAGCTGGTTGCTCTCTATCTTGGGAATGGCTAGTTTCTGTACATTGGACTCCAGTATGTGCTCCTTCAGACTGAGAAATGTTTCCCATACATCATAAGTGGATCAATCTCGGAAGGTATTCTTTGTTATCAAATAGAAAAGATAACGCGATCCATCTTGAAGTTTCAATGTTTTTCCAGGGGCTGGTAACTGACCTTGAAATTCTGGCAATCGACCAAACTTCTCCCGGAACACAGATGCCAGACCTCGAGCGTCGTTGATGTTGGCGGAAGTGCTGTGGATCAGCGAGTAGTCTTTAGGAATCGTGAGCAGATCTTGTTGTTGCTCAGTTGTAACAGCGTGTCTTGCTTTTCCGGTACCTCCATATGCACCCATAAATTCTTCAAAGACAAGGTCAGATGTTTCTTGGAGCTGGATTACTTCTTCACATGGTCACCCTCAAATGGCGCCAGCCGGTTTTGATGCACTACCTTCGGTTTACCGTTCGGGATTTTACTTATACAGAAAATGACATCATTTATTTTTCTTGATGAGATATGGATCTTCCCAAGACCTTTGAACCTTCGGAGAATAACCCTTTTGTCTTTTTGGGTTATGGAGCCAGACTTTGTCGCCTTCTTTGAAACATCCTTCTGTGGCTTGGGTATCGTATCACTTCTTCATTCTGTCGCTGGCGATTTAAAGATGCGAGCGACATGCATGTCGTCCATTTGTTCGTTGTAGTTTGATCACATAATCTTAACCACTTATTTCTTCTCCAGGTCGGCATCCAAACTCGAGGTCACACGATAGTCTCATCTCACGCTCGAACAGCACCTTTGCTGGTGTTTGGCCTGTATATTCATTGACAGCGGATCTATATGCCATTGTGAAGAGCGAAATATACTCATCCCAATCTCGCTGATGGTTGGAAACTACTTTTGACAGGTATTTGCCAATGGTCTTAATCATTCGCTCTACCATTCCATCTGACTGTGGATGCAATGCCGTAGTTCTGATTTTCTTCATGCCTACTCTGTCACAGATTCCTCGGAAAAGCTGGCTTTCAAAATTTCTGCTTTGCATCATTGTGGATCTTCAAAGGCACTCCAAATCTACTGATGAATTCTGTTCTTAACACATCTGCAACAGTTGTAGCCTCTTGATTTGGAATGGCGTAGACTTACACCCACTTCGTGAAACAATCCGTAACCACCATCGTGTATTTATTACCATTGTCATGGGGAATGGTACAGCTATATTTAAGGCAAACCTCTCAAATGGGCTATCGACGTTGTACTGCTTCATGGGGGCTTTCCTTTTTCGTTGGGGTCCGTTACTCATAGTACAGGTGGTACATTTCTTACTCCAGTCTTTTACATCATCGGAACTGTTCATCCAATAAAACCTTTCACGAACTCTCTGAAGGGTTTTCTTAACACCGAGATATCCTCCTGATTGACTGTCGTGTAACTGACGAAGTACTTCAGCTACCCTAGTCTTTAGAATGACCAACTGTCTTCTGTTTTTGAGACCATCATCATTCTCTAGTACTCGCTGTAATAAGCCTTCTTCTAGAATAAAAGAGTGTCACTGAGCTCAATATGACTTAACTACTGGAGAGAGTTTTAATACTTCTTGCCAAGTAGGTCAACGATTTTCCTATTTCCATTGTCTCATCTTCTTTAAAACGGGATCGTGCTCTTGTTCTTCCCTAAGTTTGGCAGGGGCCCATTCATCGTTGACTACAGTTGTTTTTAGTAGTTAACTTTCTTTGGATTCTGCTCTGTTGCAGTGAGAGCAGTCTGCTGGGCATGGTCTTCTAGAAAGAGAATCGGCATTTCTGTGGCTTATTCCGGCTCTGATAATAATAACATAATTATGTAACTATTTTTGAATTTCATAAATAAATAGATATCCACCAACAAAAAATTGGTCAGCATCTGTTAGCAGGCGCAGGTAGGTGGAGTCTTTCAGTCAATTGCGAACAGACATACAAGTAGTTTATACATCTGGAATTAATTTTTATTGTCCTTTTTTTATTATAAATATACTAAATACATTTTTGAATTCATTATCTAAACATAAACAGTATTTTTTTTTTTAATTGGATAATATTTTCCGTTTTCAGATTGGTAGAATAAGATGTTCTAAATGGTAATTATATGTAGACAATCAATACAAAACAGAAATAAAAAACAGATTCTTAGCTCATATTACCTATATATTCAAGAATCCCCTTACTTTCCTCCAAATTTTTCTTAGGTTTACACAACTTTCTAATTTTTTTGTATGATCTCTCCACCTAGCTTAATAAAGTGTTCTTTTTTTTTTAATTTACACTCGTAAGATTTTTTTTTAATTTTAGCATATTTGGTTCACATATATCACTGACTGAATAAATTAAATTGAAATAATATGAACGTTTTTTAGGATTCCTTATACCACCACCCAGTTCACAAAATCTCATTCATTGCTCAAGACATGACAGATTCAAGAGCTTTTGGATACATTTTTGGATCTCCCGACACTGGACATCGTTTCTTTGGCATCAAGACTGATAAGGCTGCAAGTCAAGTTGTTATAGCTATGAGAGACCTGTTTCAAGTGGTATTTGCTCTGAAGAAGAAAGAAATCGAGCTAGCAAAACAGCATTTGGAAAAGTCTTACTATCCTACTTCTCCTTTATTTTCTGATACCTCCAGTTCCAGTTCAAAAGTATGTATTTTTTTAATTTAATTTTTTCCACCACCTTCTCTATGTTTAATATTTATATTTATTTTAAGTTCACAATCTTTGGTATTAGATACAATTATCAGTTAAACACACAGTTCAATATTAATTCAGACTAAGATGGTGACGGATTACCCAGTATACTTAGAGCCTCCAATTATAAAAAGTTTTTATTGATAGAGTTTGGGAAAACTTGCAGTGTTTTAATGGAACTTTTATGCCAATTTGTTGCAACAATTTAGCGACAAAATTAAAGAGAAAAGGCCTCATTTGTAAAAGATGAATGTACTTTTCTATCAGGATAGCGCACCTGACCACAACTTTAGAATTAACAGTGGCCATATTTTATTCATTGGGATTTAAATTATTGCCTCTATTCCTCAGATTTGGCTCCCTGCGATTATCATCTGTTACCAAACCTGAAAAAATAATTGAGTGGTACTACGTCTAATTCCGAGGTACTTAATTAGTTATTTTTTCGGTCTACAATGAAGGCATTGCTAATTTAGAATATCGTTGAAATAAGTGTGTTGAGCGAATATAAGACTATAATGAAAAACAATTTTAAAAAAAAACTTGTGTTTTCTTTGTTAGGCCACATAGTTATCGAACAATCCTCATATAATCCTTATGAACAAAGGCAGAGAAAAAGGGCCGCAGTAACACGTCAAATGCAATGTCTCCATATACTATGAGATTGCCTTATTTTCAGAAGCCTTTACGTTACACTACTCTAGTTTATTATTCTAAGTACAAAAACATGCCTATGTAAGTTTTTATTAGCCACCATTTCGTTTGAAAGAATAAATCTAGTCATTGTTACAGAGGTTAACTTATTCAATAATCACATTATTTACTACAAATTAACCAGAATTAAAATAGCAGTTCAACAGTAAAATAAAGCTAAACTACATTTTTAAACATTTGCTATTCCATCGAACTAAGTTGATACAAGCTATTACTATACATACACGACATACAGTTCCTGACAAGATCAAATCTTCTGTCCTGCTGTGCTGTGTGTCAAATTATAAATGGCGCTTGCACACGCAGGAATGGAAACGACACAGTACCAACATTGCCAAGAACAGCTCGAGTCACAGGTTGGTAGCTACTTACTCACCTATAAGTGGAAAGGTTGTTGCTGTGTTGCTTCCTTTCCTGCATGTGTGAGTACCATTTACTATTCATTTCAACATAAGCAAATCAGGACCAAACTAAATATGGCGCTCCTATTGCTCGTTGTTGTACAATTTTCTGCGTACATCAATCATCAGGTTCTGGTCGGTTAAACAGTGATTTCGTGTATCTTCATGAAAATTCCGTGCATTATTTGTTCTTCATTTTTGGCTTGCCATCTTTCATTATACACTTGCAAAATAATAGTGCTTTAAAATCTCGAGTTGGTTAATTCCCATGAAAGTGCAGTCTTAAAATACATCGCACGCCATTCACAAATACTTAAGGATATCCCTAGTTTACTTTTTGCTTTCCTCACCAATCTTTCTGCTTTCTCAAGTGAAAATCTTTGTTTTTCTAAAATCTGAATTATGTCCAACCAATTTATAAATTATTTTTTTCAGTTCTAATTTACGAGTATGATACATTTTATCATTGACGCTTATTTTTAGACTTAAATTTTATGCCAAAGCTTTTGAAACATGCGGCATTTAAAATAATATTTTTTCTTAACTCTTTTTTTTATGAAATGACTATTTGTATTAAAATAGTTACAGAGTCTGCCAAATGCTCCATTGAAATCAACGTCTGAAGCAAAGGCCAATACTACTACGGTAGTAGAACAAAAAAATTCTGGTACAGCTGTTGCGGATTTAGTCGATTTAGAATTGGAACTGAACAGTTTACAGCAAGGTCTTAATCAAATGGAGAAAATTACTCCGTCAGATCCGTTTGGTTCAAAAGATGACCCTTTTGGAGATAGTTTTATTAGTTACCCTCCCGTAAGTACATGCTTCTTAATGATTAACATTTTATATACAATGTGTCCACTGATAGAGTTCTGAAGAGGGAACACTTTTTTGTTTATGGTTTTACAAAAAAAAAAAATGTAATTCTTTCTAAAAACTCATGCTTGTATTCAAATGGCTAAAAATCATTAATTTGTTACGTGTTATTGAAGGTCTTACATGTCCAAAAAATTAATCTAGTGATTCGCTTAGCTAGTGATCTGAATGGTGAAATTTGTTTTTGAATATCGGTACAATATGGAAACAGTGTACTGTCAATCGTAATCCTGCGAACAAAGTAAAATCACTTGTGACAAGTTTATATCTTGCAATAATTTTTGGGTAATCTTCGAGTTTAGAGAATTTTAATGCGCATGTCCACACCACTGCGGATGGAATGATTGGAATCGTTACATTGTTGAGAGATGGTTTATTAATATTAAGGACAAGTAAAATTTTAAGAATTGAATTAAAATATTCTTTAGTTTTCGATTATTTTGATGTATTTTTTCATGAAACACAGATTAGATTTTCATTATCCGCAAAATTAAAATTCGTCAAGGATATTCTCTTTGAGTTGCGTTTTCCATACATGAATACTTCATACGAAACGCGTTAAATCCGTTTCCGAAATATTTTGAAAAAACCGAAAAAAAATTATAACACCCTGTATCTTTGAAATAAAGCATCTGCGGGCCCATGTTGAAAGAAACTATTTTGTCTTATTTTTAGGTAGGAAATCACCTCACGGGCGATGTCACATACCTTGTATAACCAATAAGTTATCGGAACCGATTGTTCACCATATAACTTACCTACTTTATTATTATACATAAAACACTATCCATCATCCTTTTTTGGATTATCATCGGTTAATTGATTTTAATAAACTATCATATATACTTAGGGTGTGAAGTAATAAATTGGTTTAGAATCCAAACACAACCTCAAATTTCAAAGAAAAATAAAATGATGGTTGCTAACCTCTTTTAAACGGCATCGGCAAACGTCTACGAATTATTGATTACTGCGCGCTATTGAAGTGATGGTTGATCAGCGTTGCTAGATAAACAAGAAGTCAAAATTTGTTTTCTGCAACTATCATCAATAATAATACTTCTGTACTTTTCTCTAATAAAACAGACTCTACATCATTCCTAATTTTAATGCAAATCTCTAGATTTTGAAAGGTTTTTAATATTCCAGAGACCAATTTTACCACCTCCACCATCGTCTGGTCGAGAACGTTCAAATCGGGTCTCAGAGACGGGCAGTGTTTTTAGTCCAAAAACACCGCACACCGGTACTACAATCGATTCAGACAAAAAGAAAGACTTTTCTTTTTCACATGACCTGAGTAGTTCACACGATGAGCCCAGTAGCGGCGATTGGTTCACGCCATCTGCTGGTAACAGCATATTTGAAGATTCTGCCCCGCCTGAACCGTCCAAAGACGAGAAACACGAGCAAACTAAGCAAGAGATTTTATCACAATTCGACGTCTTTACCGAGTTGGACCCCTTAGGTATGTGTGTATACTTATAGATGTGACGTCTGCTTTTTGGTTTTTATTTTTAATTTGCACATTTCTTTCATTTGCAAAGTTGAAAGAATTTATCAAACATAATCTTCCATTTTTGTGACTGCAAAGTTATTCACAATTAAACACTATCTCGCGAGATATAATTTTATGAAAAATGGTAGATACTTTTTTCATTCAAACTCGTAGTCTCATTTAAAATCATATCCACCCATAAGCATTCAAAACAAAACAACTGTCAGTGGGAAGACTTGGTATATCTAAGGGTTTGCGACATACAATGTATTCTATCTGCAACACGTGAAATCATGAATAGTGAAATCATAACTTTTAATATTTTATGTTGAATACAATAAAAATATTTTTTTTAAAAATCTCTTATATATTTTTCATAAATTGGCAGGCTTGGCACTACTATTTCGAATAAAAATAGCGTCCAAGATGGAAGGCTATGTCGCAATCTCCTGAGATATACGAGCCCTTCCCACTGACAGCTATTGTTTGACAGGTCGTTGGAATGCTTAGTATGAATATGAATACCTGGGATCTCGATCCTAACCCCTTTTGTGCACTACATAACATTATCAGAAATATCTAAGGGATGTGGCTATAAAAAATTGAATTAATGCAATAAAATTAATTTCCTTTCCAAATTTTAAAATTATTCCCTTCAATATCCTTCTCTCCACGATGCGTTCACTGCTCCATGTATATTTTCTATTGGTCAAACTGTTAAATACACTCCATTCTGATTTGTCCTTTACTAATAAAAGTCACATGACGTGAGATCTGGTGACTAGGGTAGACGTTTTAATCCAAGAATAACATCCAAAGAGAAGCGACAAAGCCGTTCCCGCCAAAAAAATGGAGTGGAAGTTAACCGCGCCAACTGTCATTTCAATTTCAACACGCTTGCCACATAGATAACTTGCCAGTTTAAATAGTTTAGTCGTGAGTCTACCTTTCCCGTTATTCGACAATTTCACATTACTCATGCTCAAAAAAGCGCGGGACTTTTGAGTCTAGTAATTTTCCATAAAACATATTTTTATTCTCTCTCTTATCCTCGCCTTATAACTGTTAGGTTGGCTACGACGATGACCCTCTGTCATCGTTACTTTATTAATTATACTGGGCTTTAAACAACTGTCATCTAGTCTATTTAGATAATATAATAGCAGATAGGCCACCACTGCATAAAGTTATACAATATTAATGTCGCTATCATATAATCAGTATCTCTCTTTCTAATGAAGGCTTTCTCACTCGTTTTAGAATTCTCAGCAGTAGCGTACCGTAAAACAATTTCGCTGGGTCATTTTAAATGCGAAAATGTTGACCAAGTAGAATATAAAATAAAATGTTTTAAAAGGTAGGTAGGTGCATTTTTAATGAAGTGAAAACAAAATATGACTTTTTTGTTATGAATATAATATTAATAACAATTACTTTTAACACCACAACACGAACAAATTTAAATTAAACACTGCAATAATTGTCTGAGAAAAGCTTTGTAAAACTAACAAATACAAACAAAGAGATAGAGATATTAATCTATTTCTCTCTAATTAGAATTCTCGACCATATTATCATGGCGACACAAACATTGTTTACTGTCCTCTCTTTACTACTTACTTACTCTGAGGTCTATATAGTAGGGGAGCCAGTGACACTTTTTTGTAACACATTTGCACAAGGCATTATCTAAACAGACTTTTACTAGCACTAGCAAAGTATTTTCATGTTCTACAAGGTAAGAATGAACGAAATATTTGTAATTTTGCCGTGCGCAAATAACAAATTGGCTCCCCTATCAATAATAAAAGTTTAAAAATTAATTATATTTACAATACGGATGTGTAATGGGAACTCGGAGTAGGAAATAAAATAGTATATTACATTACGAGTGTGGAAAGTGACATTTTTCACACGAGTGGGAAATATAGTCGCACGAGGCGCAAGCCGAGTGCGACTATCACACGAGTGTGGAAAATCACTTTTCACACAAGTGATGTACAATATTTTTCCTACGACCACAAAATAATGTCATCAAAAAAATGTAAAACCAAGGTTATTATTACTATAATAATTAAAATGTATTTAAAAAAATAATCAACAATAATCGTATTTATTCAATTTTCATATTTTCTAAACAAAAAAAACTAAAAAAAATAAAAAAAAAATAAAAAAAAATAAAAAAAAAACAAAAAAAAATTCTGCCCCGACAGGATTTGAACCATAGATTGAACGCGGTCGAAAAATGGCAAAATTGATAAGTTCGACGTCTAAACCAACTGAGCTAATGGGCCTTACGTCAATTGAATGATCTAATCGGTTATGTATTTACCCAAATTAAAGAGCAAACATAATCTTAGTTATTTTAAAATTATTTTAATAATAATTGTTAAAGATAAATATCTAGGATCTAATTTAAAACAATTTCAATAATTTAACAATCATATCGATTTTAGTATTAATATGGACATTACATAGATCAAAATAGAAATTAGGCGTTTGACATTTTTTGACAACTACTGCGGAAAGTAACATATTCTCACTTGGGTGGAAAGTCAATTCTTAGTCATACGCGTGTGATATAGGACACTTTCCATAGGACTATATAGTGTGATATGTGTCACTTTCCTAAGTGGTCGTAGGAAAATAAATTTTTAATTTTTACAGGAAGTAGGATTTGCTCGTAAGTAATAGATATCATTAAAAACGGGAAAGGTCTGTTAGCATGTTTTTTATTTTTGTTCTTATAAAAATCAAATTAAAAGTGACAGAAACATTATTTATTTGTTTATCGAGATTAGATCACTGAGACTCATTTCCAATTATATTTATACACGATAATGCAATTAAACTCATTTTATTGTGAGAATACAACGGGCTATTACCGCTTATGGCCAACTTCTTTCTGAGCATGTCTGGACCAAAACATTCGCAGCGCTTGTTGGTCGGTGGCGCGGCGCATAAATTTAAAAATATAAATGAAGAGCTAACAGAAGTTACACATAATTTCAATTTAATAACGGAAACTGTTCCGTTCTCAACAAATTAATGGAACTGTTATCATATTAATAACAAATTATTTTATTGGTTGTTGAAACTGACTTCCAATAGTTTCCATACAATGATTTTCGACTCATTCCTATATTTTCTCATAAAAGCCTCACCTTTAAAATTATTTAAGGTGGATAGTTTTCATTAAATTCCCTTTATATTAGACCTAGATGGCTCAGAATGTTAACTATAACTTTATAGTCAAATTTGACTACATCGTTTATTACATTTTGAAATTTAAAAGTGAATAACTTTGCAGGAATTCATCTTATGACAAAAACGCACAGGATTTTTTTAAATTTTTTTTTATGTTTTTAGAAATACCGAAATTGGAATTTGGTCAGATTAATTTTAATTTGACATATATTTATTTCGTTTAAATTAAATGGCACATAATTCTCGAACGTCATTAGTTTTAGTTCACTTATTATGCAAATTGAATAGAGATATGAAAAAAGTAATCACCAAACATCCATCACCGTGTAAGAACGACCAATGATTATCTATAATGTTAAATATAATCTTGGAATAAACTATAAATATCGAAGTATTAAAATTATTCATTATTATTAGATGGTTATATTATTTTTTCATCATCATTTATTTATAATCCTATTCCTCTTTATTATTTTATCTGTGGTAAAATAAAATATTATATTTTTTCAATGGTTTTTTTATTTTAGCTATCGTTTTTGTTCAGTTTAATATATTTTTTTTGAAAAAAAAAGCTATTTTATTTTACCGTAGGTACGGGTAGAAGTAAGCCATATATTGACAGAAAACATTTCTTTCAAGAACTCAAAAATCCGCCTAAAAAAGCACTCAATGATTTGGTCGCTAGTACCACACAGGAACAGCCCTTATTCAACACCAATTTCAATAAAACGAAATCAAAACCAACCAGTACCACAGTTTTACCGCCACAAAACGACTTTAGCTTGGATCCATTCGGAGAAGATCCATTTGTTAAAGAAGATCCATTTGCCGATTCCGATTTTTCGAAGCAGGACCCCTTCGAAGCGGAATTCAGTAACTTTAAAAAGGAAAATATGAATTTGTTCCAAGGTACCCAATCCAGATCTCCAACCGGCTGTTTAGAGAAACAGATGTCTTTGTTGAACTCATCACCTAATACAAAAGTGGTGGCTAAACAGAGCACATTTGATAATAAATTCGACAGGTTAACTTACTTGCATGAAAATGCCAGTTTAGAAATATCTTCCGAAAGCGAATGCGCCCCTGAACCACCGCCAAGGCCAACTAATCAACTGATGTCTATTAAACCCCCACCTTTACCGCCGAAGAAAAGTATTGATTTATCTTCTAAACCTCCTCCTAGACCTCCTTACCACACCGAAGAATCTCCATACGAGTTCCTTGGCAAGTACGAATCAGCTCCTAGTAGTATTGTAGGTATTGGTTTAGATAAAAGTCCTCCCTTACCTGTTCCTGTTCGGAAGACAAAGTTTGAAATGGAAGCTCCCGAAAGACCAAAGAAGTACGTCAATGCTTCTTCTGAAGAAGATTATTTGACGCCAATATCACTTCAGGACAAACCTTCAGGAGTTTTCTTACCACCTCCTCAAAAAAGTACAAAAACTAATACTCAGGTGAGACATTGTTTAACTTTTCAGTACGTAGTGATCTCTTTGAAAACAGTAGGGGTGTACCGATATACCGATAGTTAATTTCTGGTCGATACCGATCATTTAAAGGCCGATATACGGGGTATCCTTGAAAATACAGTGAGCATCATAAGTCTTACCCCTCCTAACTCGTTACTGCAGTCTTGTTAGAAAAATCACCGAGACACGTCGATTTTTGATTTCTACAATGTACATTTTTGTATGAATAGTTTACCCTTAATTTCATCCCTTACTGGAGGGAAGCAACCCTTTCGAAAAATTTAAATAGCATGGGGTGGTGAGTGATAGCTCATTTGGAAGGGGGTTTTATTCTCTATTCAACCGTGCAAAAAATTTTGAAATTTGTTTGATTAATTCTCAACTAATATTGTTTCAGAATAACGGAAATTAACGTAGCGCACTCATCCTTAGAATTAAAATTCGGTCCTGCATGATATCGGTTTTGGTTCAGACGTGAAGTAAGACTTTTTGCCATTAGATAAGGTCACTGTTAGTTTAGTTGCTTTCCTATTTGTGATGTTTTGTTATTTTTAAACAATAATAAATCAACACGTAATGAAGCAAATTTAAAAAAAAATTGCACGGTTGAATAGAGAATAAAACCTTCTTTCAAATGAGCTATCACTCACCCACTACCCCATGCCATTTAAATTTTTCGAAAGGGTTGCTCCCCTCCAGTAAGTGATGAAATTAAGGGTAAACTATTCATACAAAAATGTACATTGTAGAAATCAAAAATCGACGTGTCTCGGTGATTTTTCTAACAAGACTCCAGTAACGAGTTAGATAGGAGGGGTAAGACTTATGATGCTCACTGTATGTATGAAAACTATGTTAGATTAATTAAAGAAAATATCTTACAGCTTAACTTCTATTGACATGCAATAACTTAGGTATGGTCAGACATTGCAATTAATCAAATTTTAATAGCTCTGTTGAATATAGTGGTATTGTTGATCATGTTATAGAAACTTGTGGCTGGTTCAGACAAGTGGTGTGTTTACTTTGGCAAAATCTTCGTTTTCTTTTTAATTTATCTTTTTCTTGTTGTGAATTTCCTGTTTATTGGAAAAGCCGTTTTTTATGTTAACTATCTATAAATCTGAGTTACAGAGATTTATTTAATAATTAGGAACACCTAATATATGTACATATAAATTACAAAGCATTATAAAAAAAAACAAATACAATATACAATTGCTAAAATTATTCTATAACTAAATGGAAGGTACACAATAAAACTATCGAATGGAAAAAAAAATCAACAACTACCATTTAAAATTACTTATTCTATGAAACGACACTAGCAGGTAAACATTACTGCGAAATTCGCGAAGCCGTCCGACCTACCAAAAGCCTTTCCAACTTCTGCCCTTGTTATATTTCATAGGGACAGTATTGCTATTTCTTAAACGATAACGGATAGAAATGTTAAATTAGACACAAGTTGCGCAGTTTTGTGCTCATTAAAATGGTGCCAAGAAACCTATCTACAGGGAGATTCAAAATATCGGTCAAAAAATGAATGAATTTAAAGAAATGATAATTTTCATTTTTGTAATACGGAAAGCTCCGAAAACTGGAAACAATCTGATAAACCGAGTTGGGGTCAAATCTCGTACTCAAATTAACAATTAGGTCGCTTGATGCATAACGCTTCGTTGGTCTAATGTTTTCAACCTTGAAACGGCAACCATGAGGCACAGGTTCGAGCTTTGCTCGGGCGGATTTTTGTCAAAAATTTTTTCAATTTTTCTTTGGTTTGTTATCACCCCTGTGATTCTGGAATTTATTCCTGCATACGTTCAATGTAAGTGAAAGACGTGCATGGAATGTTGAACTATTTCATATACCTTTTAATCAAAGGTTGACTGGTGTTTCCTATTTACTAGTTTCGTGACATAAGAAGAAAAAGTAAAAAACTTTCTTAATAAAGTTGAATTTTTTTTTAAATATATAAAAAAAATGAAGAAAATCTGCTTTTATATCGCATCCTTTCAATAATATGGACATTCAAGAAATCTCTTTTACCATAAGTTGTTCAACATGGAATCAACTATGATTAAAGATGAAATTCTGAAGATTATTTCGGTAATGTTAAGTGATTATAATATTATAATGAATAAAAAATTATAATGTATAAATGACTATAAAAAATGGGTTCTTTAAGCTCAATTTGAAGAGGCATTTTCCAGGAGGTCTAACCCTGTGTGTTCATGGGCGACGATGACTGCCTACCAGAAGATGTCGCCTCCATTTGCCTAGTTCACTATAAAAAAATACAAATATAATACTATGTATTACCTATCTAGTTTCATTTATAAAATTGTATTGCTTAACGTTATTGAGGAATTAAAAACTTTTGGTATAAGTGTCGATCTTCCAGTTACAAATTTTTCGTTTATAGATGTTCATAGAAAAAAGTATGGGCATAACTGATTTAGAGTCTTAGAGCCCTTTATATAACTTGGTAAATTGTTATAATCAATAAAGCCTTAAAAGTTAATGTTTTTGTGTTGAATACCTTAATTTGGGTGTTAACGTATAAATTATCCTTAAGCCTGCTAGCCGCAATATATCCATCTGGGACACAGTGGAAGGCGAAGAGATCATCCCACTAATTTTCAATCTATGCCTGGTTTTGTAGTTGTGAATTTGATAACTAAACATTATAAAATCATGAAAATAGGAATGTGGAAGATTATGAACCATTTTATAGATATAGCACTGTTATAAGGCCTGGTAATGATCTTATCTTTTTCGGGCTCCACTATGCTATGATTCTGAAGCGGATTGTAATTCCATGTTTTCAAGCTGCCGGCTTTGGGTTAACGATCGATGATAGAAAGAAACAAGCACATCTGCATTATTTAACACTGTTTACTTTTACATAAAGAAGACACCACACTACATTTTATGAATTATTTACACTATGTACACATATCGTACTCAGAACATTTATAATTGATATGATCATATGATGGTTGAGAAAAGTCTGATTACGTGCAGTGTTTTGAAAAACCATTAAGGCTTGCGCATTCATTTCGCGCAAGCATATTACCAACTATTTTCTTTTGTCCAGTCATTATTATCGATTTAAAATTCGTGCATCTGTATTGGATAACAACCGCGCCCGTTGTTTTCTACTGGTATTCAAACGATTTGTTGTTTTTGATTCAGTAGGTCTTTCGTTGGCCAATGAACTCTTTGGCATATCTCAAGCCTGGATAGTTGTTGCACCATTCCTAATTCCTGAGACTCTTTGCATTCATTGTCTGATGGATATCTTGCACAGTACCTTAGCAACTCCCTCGGAAGGGATCGTGGCCTGACATGGCCTTATCTGAGCCTTTCTGGGCTAGTTCGTCAGCCTTTTCACTGTCTTGATATCCTTCGTGGCCTGATACCCAGGCTAAGGTCACTTTTTTTTACTACTTAGCTCTGTCAGATCTTCTAGGCTGCCTTTCACCAGTCGTGATGTGATTTCTAGTGAGAGAATTGCCTTTAGAGCTATCAGAGTAGATGGCAATATTTTTGCCTGATACTTGCTGATTTCTTACATCTTTTGCAGTGTTTTATGGCTATTAGTCCAGCCTGGAACATTGTTGTGTATTCTTCCAAACTCGTCAAAATCGTTGTTTTCGACTTGGATCCAAAGAGTCTAGCAATTTGAATTTGAAATTTTCTTTCAAATTTGTATGTGGTTACGACTATATTAGTGGGAATTCCGAGAACCTTATCATTTATTACTACTTGGTGGTATAGCCTCATAAGGTCAATGCTATGTAGTTGGCTTATTCGGTTTTGTCCCTGTATTAGCCTGTGACTGACGAACTTGGATTCTCCTTGTCCTAAAGATGTGCAGTGGCGTGAGGTTTAATTCCGGTAAATTGACCTACTTCACTTGCCTGCGCGGTTTTGGTTATTCACATTACTGTGCCTTAAGTAATTATGGGTCTTTTTGTCCTTGTGTACTACCATATGGTCATTTTGGAGCTTAGGCCCCAATTTTTCTTTAGTATTCTTGTACAGTTTACGATAACTATTGTATGCGACTTTTTTGAGATCTTGGTTCCACACCTGCCTTTCGGCAAATATGACATTCTAACTTATATTGTATCGTATTAAATTATAACTCGTTTAATATTTGTTATGAAACTTTGTTATATAATTCTGTAACATGAGTTTTTATGCGTAAATAAATTAATATATAAAAAATAATTATTATTTCCTAAATAATGCATGCAATATTAGTTAAAATTTTGATATTTTTTTTTAATATTAAGAATTTTTTACTCTAAAAACTCAATCCTTTAAAACCAGCATCAACAAACATTATTCTGGATATTTTCTTTGTATCGGTGCATTCCTAAAACTTAGTCTCTAAAATGACGTTTAAATGAGTATTTTTGGTAAACCCACAGATATTTCTTTGTATAACTCTATGATATGCATTTGTTTCATTAAACGATAGGACATTTAACCATTTTAATTTTTGAACAATTACGAATAGATGCAAATTATCGATTCAAAACCGTTTTCTGTTACAGGTACATATATCATCGTTCCTTGAATCCAAAAGAGATAATCTAGAAGATAATTTTGAAGGTTTAGATATCACGCTGAGCCAATTAACTCTAAGTGGTTTAAATGAATTGGCTCAGAAACTAAAAATACCTGCTACACAGTTAAGCAATATGACGCTAGTGCAATTAACGAATTTTTTATCTAATTTTATCAAATCAAGTAACAGTGTCGTGCCTCCGACTACTAAAACGGAATCAGAAACAAGTAGTACAAATAATTTCGCGGATTTTTCACATTTTCAAGCAGATTTTGCAGCTAATTTCAACAATTCTAATTCATCTGACCCCTCTTATGACCGTTATGCTGTGTTTAGAGAACTTATGCAAGAAGAAATTAAACAAACAAAAATTGATTCTGAACCCGAAGAAATATTAGAAGAAAAAGAAAAACTGGAAAATACTATGAACAGTAATGTTAATTTAGAATTAAAACCATTGAACGACGAATCGTTGAACACTGATAGATATGCTGCTCTTCGAGAAATAGTAGAGAGCGAATTAAAGCAGACAGATGCGAATAATGAAGATCTTAATCAAAACCACCCCAATGACGTTGAAAGTACAGAGTTAGAAGATGTAAATGTAGAAGAAAATGCTACTCTGAGTAATGGAAGTTTGAAAGACACTGATAATCTAAATATAATAAACCAAGAAAAGATGCAGGTGGAAAATAATGAGAAAGAAATTACTTCTCCGATTAAAACGAAGATTATAGAATATATTACACCTCCGGAAAATAAAAATAAAGAAGCACTAACTTCTGTAAAGCAAGCATTGAAGTCTCCAATTAAATCAAACATTATTAAAAGTCCAGTTCCTAGCGCCATCACAGAAATAGTACAAAATAATACTCGTTTAACTTCTGGATCATTATCAGATGTCATTAGTGGAAGTTCTCCCGAGGTGGAGAATACTGCCAGTAATTCTGAGGTTGGAAAAAAAGCCAATGATGCCACAGGTAAACAAAAATATACTTTAAAAACATTTATGTTAGATTTTATCATTTAATCAGTAATTTCGAACAAATAATTTTATCAGTCAAGCAGTATTGCTTTATTTATTCAACATGGCTGGAGTTTAAGGTGCTGGTTAGAAGAAATTATTTAATAAATCAGACAATAAAATTTCCTTTTTATCAACGAAACGAGTGCTTATCGTGCTGATTAAAACTAATCATTTTATCATATAATTATTCATTTAATCAGTCAGTAAAATTTTCTTTTATCAACGCGTCCGATGCTTGTCATGTTGATTTAAACTAATCATTTAATCAATCAGACAGTAATATTTATTCTTCAACACGCCCTGCGTTTAGCTTGCTGATTTAATCATTTAGTTATAGTCAGACAGTAAGATTTCTCATTATCAAATACGCCCATCTTTTAGCATGCTTTATTTGATCCTTTTGTCCATTCTCTTGGTCTTCTTTCCGGGATTTTGATATTTCGCTCTACAATTTTACCTTTGTTCCCTTTTTCTAATAGGTTTATTAGGAATTCGCTCTCGAATGTTAAAGTCGAAAATGTCTCTTTCTCAGCTTTTGGCCGACTTTTTTTAATTAATTGGTGATTTTATCTGGCTCTGGCTATCGTTCCACACAACCATAATAATATTTGCACTTACCAATTACTAGAAATTGAATATCCTATACAATAGCATTTTCTGACAAGGTACAGTAAAAATATAATTGTTTTATTCGATAACCATATTATTTACTTATTGAAAAATGAAACATATTATTTCCTTTTTAAAAATGGAAAACAGCAATTATCATAGATTAGCCGCAGTTTTTAACTCGAAGATAGACATGGTTTTGACAAAAATTTCACACATATTAGATATGGTGCACATGTAAAGAACCACGTCCAACTGTATGTATCTACAATGAATAATTAATCTAGCAAATTCCGTTTTCAAATAATATGAATTGTATATGTCATTCATGTTCATTTTAAATTGGGGGGTGACTATGAAAGTCAAACATCATTGTGTATAGTAACACTGATACTGTCAAATTTCTTCACAAACAGTTCAACAGTAAATGTAACGTTTTCATGTCGCTTTCCCGTTTTCTTTTGTTTATTTTAAACCTTCATTGGTGAATCTAATGCATATTCCAAATTTTAACCAATCAAACGGGGATCTGTAGCTCTCTATAACACAAAAGGCAACAAAATTAAGAAGATGCCACCCAAACAAATTACCACAGAGCAAGCATAAATTTAATGAACCTAAAATATCGGAGTAGTCTAAATGCATTAGCATCTACAGTAGTAAATTAACCAGTTAATAATAATTATTATTAGAGATCAACTACGAATGAAAGCGACAGGTCGGTCGTCCCCATTCTACTTCTAGATGCCAACCTTCGTCGTACAGTGCTAAAAACAAAAATATTTTGAATTATTTCAACCATGTCCTTCTTCTAATCACATAAAATCTTGGTTAAATTCAATACAAAATACGGCCTGGCTATAAACGCACATGTTTATCTCACAAGGGAAGCAATGTTTTATTTCTAATGTGGTCTTTTAATATATTATTTAAGAGGTATTTTAATCATGAAATATCCAACGTTTTTTACTGACATAACTCTAACAGTTCATTGAATTTTATTAATTTCTTAAACAACCAAAAAATATGAATGAAATACGAGAGTTATTAAAAATTTAATATCGAAACACCTGTGAAAGTTCTGAATAACTCCTGTGAAACAGAAAACAAAAGTGTTATTTTTATGTTTCTTTATATAAAAATGAAAATTGTGAATAATATATAATTATAAATACATTTTTGGCTACAATGTTATCTGGAACAAACATTTTTAGTAAAATTATTAATTATAATAAAAAAAAAACTTTTAACACCATATATTTAGCCACAATATGAAGAAAATCTTCGATTTTAAAATAACCGCATTTTAGGTGAGTCGTGGGCGATTTTTGACCAGGAAACTGCTCATTTAGAGTCTGTTAAAGAAAAACAACCTGTGCAAAGTGAGGAAGGTGTTTCTCCGTGGTCAAGTGATTCGAAAGAATTTGGTACTGGATCGCCTCCAGATTGGAGGAGTAAAGATTCGGGCAGCGGTACTGAACCACTTCCCAGAAAAAGAAGGGACCAAGATGGTTGGTGGGACACAGCAGCAGAACCAGAAGGTAGTGCAAAAATAAACATAAAAGTTCGGTAAAAGTGGACTCATAACTTCTGTATATAAAAAAGTGATACAGAACAACTCTGTGGGTATGTTCAAGAAGGGCCATTGTCGTAACTTAAGCATGCAAACAAATTTTTAAGGATACCACTGGATTTTATAATATAAACTAATTGGTCTGAAAATCAGAAAACACCACCTCTTATAATTCTACAAAAATTTATTAGATAAGTGCCCTCTGTATGCATGAATAAAAATAAAAATTACGTTCATGAAATAGAAATATCTAAATAATAACTACAAAAATATGGTTTTAATTATATTTGAAAGATTTTTAAATAAATAATTAAATAAATTTTATTAAGTAGAATGGACTGAAAAGTGGAAATACTTTTTTATTTTAACTTTTATAGGAAATGTTATTCTACATAAAAGTTTTTGTTACAAAAATAATGACAAAAAAATATATTATTTTATTTTTGTCATTATTTTAATAAAGCAAAGTGCTATTGTTTCTGTTTGGATTATTTTTGAAACAAGCAAAAACTTTTATATGAAGAATAACATTTGTTCAGAAAGATGGAAGTAAAAAAGTTTTTCTTCTGCTTTTTCAGTCCATCCATAAAAAAAATATTAAAAGATATGATTATACTATTCAATTTTGCCAATTTCATTACATTTACAAAATTAAATTTAAGTTAAATCAAAATGGAAAAATATAAGATTACTACATTTTAATTGGATATGTTAAATACACTCTTCTGTCTGACTCTGTTGTTCATCAAATGAAGAAAAATTGACGGCATACAAGTTCAAGGAAGGTCAAAGATGGCTACCGGAGTTAACTAATTAACAAAGATAACCAGAGAGAGTTACTGGATATACTTTTTTGACACTAAGGATAAAAAGAGATGAAAGCAATAATTACAATATTATTTGGGAATCACGAAATTAAGATATAGAAGTAAATGGTTGGATGGATTGATTGAATACTATCGATTATTATTATTTTTTTAACAATACAAGTAATGTACATTGTATAACTACTAATTTCGAAAACAAACTCCAATTAAAATTATTATATTAAACAAAATACTTAATGTAAAGTGAATCATTTTAGTTTCTACAATGTCAAAATTGATACTGTATTATGTTAATGAATTAAGCCATTATTTAGAAATGAGAACTGTATGGTTTTCCATAGAGGAAAAAATGTGAAAAATTGAAAACTGCTAATTCTTAACCCCAACACAAAAGTATCAATTTTGACATTGGCTCTACTTGAACTCACCCACAGAATTAATATCTCATCTCTCTTCAAATAATTGAAAATTAAGTGGTAATAAGAGTCAACATGGATTTTAAGTAAATAAATTTATAAATATAGCTGACTACCACACTACTTTTGTAATTCCATTGATCATAATTGTGAAGTATTGAAAAATAATAACTTGAATAATTTAATTAACACAAAATATTAATTTGCGTGTAAAATGTTTTATTCCTTATCAACTCGATACAATAACTGAAATCCAAATTCGATATACTTAACGTTGGCTCGCAAAACCACAGCTGATACATCATAAAAAGTGACCTTCAATACTTTTATGTTTAACAGAAAAATAACGAAAAATAGACATATTAAGCATATATTACAATAATAATTGTGATCCCGGTGGCTTAGTGCGTCAGACGCTTGTGTGTTAAATTACTGACATTCGATGCATAGGTTCAAATCTCAGAGCAGACCAATGTTAATTTTTCTTAAATTTGCATGGTTCGTAATAGGATTTGATGGGTGGCATATTGGTAGTAATATAATTTTTGTAAATACGACGTCCAGATTAATCCCAGTGAGTTACTCACCTGTAAGTCAAATGGCACCATCAATCATTTGTATATAGCCACGGCAAAATAATAATAGGTTGGTTCCAATAACGATCAGAAACCAGGATTCTGCGCAGTAGATAATTTAGTGGTCCTAATAATCTACTGCGCAGAATTCTGGTGTCAGTGACTGGTTTCTAATCATTGTTGGAACGTTATAATAGCCATCCGTGCCCGGCACAAGCTCAGCTTCTCAGCTTAAAATTCGCTCATAAGGGTGTGAATTATAGGGATAGTTTTATTATTAAGAGTGATCCACTAAAAATGTTTCTAAAGTATGCCATGGCCGACAAAGATAGAGATACAAGTCATGTCTGTGATAATTACACTCAGCTATGAATTAAATTCAAACTAAAAGAAGAAGAACAATAGTACGCTCGACATACATGAATTTTTCCAAGGCCTGCTTCAGAAATATTGTTTTATGGATTATTTCATTATTATACAGTACATGGCCCATTTTTTTCGACCTCGTGCTGTTGACTGTATAAAATATAGAAATTATTTTCATTTTTTTACTTTATTTAAATATTTTTTAATCAGCCCATTACTTCACTGCTAATCGCCGTTCGACAGACAGTTACGATGAAGAATACTATGAATGTTATGATCGACCGAGGAGACGACGCCAACAGACCAATTGGCAACACGGTAATCAGGCTGCTGGAGGTCATTCGTCCAGTTCGCGAGACGTTAGTCCTTGGGAAGAGGAGCCACGAAGACGAGAACTTCGTGAACATAGGGATCCAAGAACGGTATACAGGCATCCAAGAACACACTCTTTTGAAAGACGACGAGACAGGAGACTTGCTGATAGTTGGGATGAAGACGACGATTATGAGTGAGTATCCATCTCTCTTTGCTTTTTTTTTTATATAATTTTATTTTAATTTAATTTCAATATTAACAGACTGAAGAAAGCCGTGGGCAACAGCTAGTTTATATATAATTATCGTAAATTTAATGAGGCTTAGAATAAAGGGGCTCCCTTTAGGTGTAATAAAGATGTCTCTCGTTTATTTTAATTGTAAACAACGCAGACGCTAAACGAAAAGATATCATGGGTATCCAAGTATAAGAGTTCGACTCTTTAGGTGTTATAAATATATATAATTTATTACTTAACGTTGACTATTCTATTTCTTTCTTGCCAGAATCAACATTTTTTCTTAGTTTTGTTGCTCCTATTTCTGCCTATTTTTTTGTTAACATGAATTTATTTTTATTTATTTAGTTATTAAACGGGAAAGCCCCATTACAAAATAATAACTATATAATATTATAATATGGTTATGTCAACATAAATTTAACAAACATAAATAAATAATTTCAGAAATATAGTAAACAGTCTTATCAAAAATAACAAAAAAATCACGAGAATATTAATACTACTATTCAATGACAATATTTCAGTGCCTACGGCCTATTCAATAGCGATTATATTGCATCGAAGTATCCTTAGTAGATTGCTCTTAAACACTTTAAAAGAGTTATTTAAAACATCAAATCTACCCTCTCTATTTAAAAACTCTAGTTATCTATCCATAAAAGAATGTCTACCATTATTTTTTCTATGAAAATTAATGGAAAATAAATTATTTTGCCGTAGCGTTCTTTGTGGCACTGCAATTTTTATTTTAGGCAGCAAAGATTTAATATTTTATAAGTGAGAGAAATATAATACATACTCCTTCTTTTGTCCAGAGTAAGCAATTTTAGTTTATGTAGGATAAGAGAATAGTCATGATCAGGAATAAGATCCGAGTTAAACCTATAATTACAATATCTCAAGAATGTATTTTGTATTCTCTCGAGTTATACTGAGGCGTCCAAATAATTGAACTATATTCAAGTTGTGATCTGACCAACCCAACATACACTGACTTCACAGCTTCCAGAGAGAGTTCACAACAATTTCTTAAAGTAAACCCTAACATTCTTTGAGACTTAACCGATAATTGATATGCTCACTGAAACTTAGTTAAGCATCAAAAAGTATTCCCAAATCCTTAGCCAATTCTTTGTCATTCAGCACATGACCATCTACTGAATAAGATAGGATCTTATTTTTTTTTTTACTGAAAGAAATCCTAAAGCATTTTCAACATTCAGATCCAATAAGTTTAACTTACACCAATCAGACAGACTAATATCAAAATAATTTGAGATCATCAGCGAACATTAAAAATTCACAATGCTTTATACAATCTTTGTGGTCGTTGACAAACAGACTAAATAGCAAAGGATAACAATGCCCATTCTGAGGAACCCCAGACTTAACATCGACCTCTTCTGACATAAAATTGCCAATTTTCACCATCAATCTTCCCTCACTAAGAAAACTATGTACCCATTTTGCTAGATAGTCTGAAAACCAAGATTTTTTAATTTCTTAATTAAAACCGGTGATAAACGCTGTCAAATGTCTTGAAGAAGTCTGTATATATGGCAACAACCTGATACCCCCTCTCCAAGGCATCTGACAGTTTACTGTTATATACAGGGTGTTTCCGAACTTGACGTCCAAATTTGTAGGGGTGGTAGTTCGCATAATTTGAGACCGATTCGCAGATTTCATTTTTCCAAAATATTTAAAATAAAAATAATTAAAAATTATAAACCGGTACGGTCCTGCACAGCGATAGGATCGCTTGGACTCGCGCGCGCTACGCTTAGAATCGACAAAATTGCAAATCGCATCTGTTTTTGATTTTGATTTTTTTCATAATGGCTCTATTTTGTTTGTTATAATTTTTTAGAAAAATGAAATCTGCCAATCGCTCTCAAATTATGCGAACTACCACCCCTACAAATTTGGACGCCAAGTTCGGAAACACCCTGTATAAGCAGATTGGTTACCATAGAACGTTCTACCCTAAAGCCATGCTGCTCATCAATTATAATCTCTCTACACACTACATTCAAATAGTTATGTAATAAACTATCAAAAACTTTTGGGATTAAAGACTGTATAGATAGTTTTTAATATCATTTCTTGGCCCTGATTTAAATATAGGAGAAACAAAGCTTTCTTTAAAAACAGCTGGAACTACACCAGTAGCCAAAGATATGTTAAATAACTTACACAATGGCTAATATAATGAATATCTACACTGCTTCAAGACCAAATTAGGGACCAATCATTTGAGAAGACTGTACCAAAAAAATTTATAATTTCTTGACCATCAGTATCCATTACATTATTCAGATTCATATTTTTTGGAATTTCATTTGAACTTCATTTTTAGTAGTCAGATCACTATGTGTTTAAATAATAACACTCCTATGTTAATTTTTTAATGTGCTCTCACCCTACTAAATTTAAAATAGTCTTAGACCTGTGATATTTTTTGTGTTTATTTTTTTAAGAGAAATCAACCTCCTTAAATCACTAGAGAAGTAAGAAGGAAAATTGGATGATTTAAATCTTTTCTGTGGAATGAAACACTGAAAACCATAGTTTAGAATTACATAAAATTCCGAAACAATATCATTTATATAACTATTATTAAAAATAAATAAGCATTTAGACTCTGATAATTACCATTTTTAAAATCAAAGTACTTTAGTACGATATGATGATAGTTCCTCTTATCGTCTTAAAATCTATTGATTGATTGAAAAATGTGTTTCTTATGTTTTTAGGTATGACGATGAACATTCTTCTAGACCTTGGCCAGAACGCCATGGCTCCCGTGAAACAGATAGAGAAAGTCGACATAGTACAGGTAGTAGAGAACATGATAGTGATAGATGGTGCGACGATAGAAGCGATGACAGAAGGCATAGGAGAAGGAGGGACCCAAGAGATCCTCGAGACCCTAGAGATAGATGGTGTTGTCCTGATTGGGACCAGAGTGAACATGGTAAGTATAAGTAAATATGTTACAAATTTTAAATTATTATTTACAGATTAACCTGTTTCAATATGTCAATGTTTCAGTTATATCCTGTACAATGATATTTTTTTTAGTTCCAGAGAAAACACGATATGGTAGTGGTAGATGGCGAGATCATAAGCCAGATGAACGATATTATAGTAGGGATTCTCAAGAATCTCCCTGGGAAGATGAATATTCAAATGAACCTGCAGAAAAGCCGCATTTTGTATCTAGCTCTTCTAAAAGAAATTGGAAACAAAGACCAAGTAGTGCATCAGAGATGGACAGAAAAACTGGAGAGATCAAATCTAGACATCATCCAGTAACAGGTATCTACTGATTTTTGTTAAAAGAGTCATCATATAATTCACTATTCCCATTATCTATTTAACGGATTCATTTTTTAAAGTAAATCAAGATATTTTTTTTTTGTTTCTAGCCACCTTAAATAAATATAGATAATATTATATTTTTAGGAGGCAGTGATGGAGAAAGAGATAGGCGATACAAGCCCAGTAGAAGGTCCCGTAGCAGAGATTCTCAATACACCGAACCACCTCACAGGCATAAACCCGACGTGGGACCATCATTAAGAAGCTTACACCGAAAACCTTACATACACTCTAAAACAGTAGATAGTGAATTTCCAGAAGTTCCAATTAAAAAAATTTCTGACATTAAAATAGAAAGCACTAAAAAACCATCCACTCTATCTCGCAAAAAGACCAAAGATAGCCTGAAAATTGAAGAAAACGCGTCCAGTACTTTCCCCAGGAAATCTACTAACCGAGGAAAATTAGTTTTTGAGAATGACTTTGTCTCTCCTGAACCAAGTCCCATATTATCCAGGTTGGGTACGAAGATCAATTTTGAAAGTGATTTTGAGAAGCCATTGACACTGGAGAGGTAAGTGTAAACTATTTTTTTTACTATGACTATTGCCAATTGAATAAGATATAATATATCTATATCTATAAGATATAAAATATATTGCGGGACAGAGGATAAGAGTCTAAATAAGTCTAGGCTCGAAGTTTTTTATATTATCATATTCATGAAATATGTAAGTTATTTATAGTGTGGCTAACATGTTTGAATGTGTCTATTTGGCCAGTACCACGTTTATTATTTATAAAAAGTATTGGATTGTTTCAACCAACGAAGAATTTAACAAATTAAGTACAAATGTAATTACAGACAATATGTATAGTTTAGCATGTTCTAATCTACGAGGGCTATTCTCTTTCTGCTGAACCTATCTAGTAGGCGATGATATTTTTGCAACAAATTTTTTCTGACATTTTAATCTAGTTTAATTAGTGACAGTGGATTGTTTATTCGCTCCGTGCGCGACAGCAGCGCCAATTTGTTTTGGTATTAAAGGAGTATTTCTGCCTATACTGACAAATACAATTTTTAATGGAATTCGTAAATAAAAAGTATATATGTTAGTTTTAATAAAAGTATATGGATTTATAAAACAATTAAAACATTAATTTATTATTATTATATATTTTTCACGCTTAAATTGAAGAAAATTATGTATAATCATTAAAAATCAATAATAAAATATAGGCAGGCAACAGTATTTACTGGAAAATGTATGAGAAGTTGCCTAAGTCTAATAAGTTGTCATTGAAGAAACCATTTATAATAGCGTGAAGTTAAAATGTATAAAAAGAATCGCTACTTATATTTTCATTTTTGTTCTAAAGAAAACAGAATTAATGATTAAAACTGGTTTCCGATCAGTAAGTCACAAAATTGCATACCAGCCAAATATTATAATCAACGGCAGAAATCTTGAAATCTAGTCCTTGCTGAATGAACATTTAAGAATAAAGGGATATTAAAGAACATCGTAAAATGATAATTTATTGTTTATTTAAAAACTTTCTAGTTTCTGATGTATACTATTTCCAGCATTACTGTTATTATCACAAAAATAAAGGTAATTTTTCTTCTTATTGTACACCTATCCATTTATTTCTTTGATTTAATTTCCACTTTGTTAGTGAAATTTGTTATATAAGTTTCACTGTTTTTTTTTGCTAGTATTTGTACAATTTTCAACACAGCAACTCCGGTTGCTTATTGTGTTGTTTTTACCCACTTTTTTGAAAAAAAGTAAAATGTATACGTGTATTTGATATGCCAAAATTACAAAATATCCCCCTAAAATGCACGAATTATCCGCAGCTAGCGCTAGTATCGCTTTTGCTTCCCTTTCCATGACTTCGCACGGAGCGAATAAGTTACATAAGTTTAAAACACTGATCTGTATTATTTTACTGGATAGGATATAGGCTATATTTAACATACTAAAAAATCGTTCCACCAAGGAGACCGGAAGTGCAACAATGCTGGCCGATTTGGGCAAATTATGGTGGGTTCAGAGAACTGAAATTTGGGATAATTTGACATACCTAACTTATAATTTGATTAGTTTTTCTTCTTATTCTTCTTCTATTCCTTTTGCGGGCGATGTCCTACGGGAAATTTCACCCATGATTTGATTTTTTATGAAAGAAAATATAAAAATGGAAACGTGAAGCATATTGTGTCTTCAGGAATGAACGTTTATACTTACTTTGTTTTCCACAATAAAAACATCTCATCGTAGCTTGTTGACACAATTAAATGAAAAATATGGTGACAAATGGAAATAGAGGTTACGTTAAATAACATCCGGTCCGCCATATTATTTGCCCAAATCGGCCAATTTTTCGGAACGTTTTTTAGGGGGCTATATCCTATCCAGTAAAATAATACAGATCAGTTGTTTAAAATAATCCTTTCATCAAGTGATAGAAATTAACAAGGGGCATTATCGGGCTGTAATTTTTTACAATTTCGTCGCAGAGCGTCACGGCAAATAATAAGCTCAGTCAGTATTATTATATTATTACTATCAAATTAGAATGTCTAATTTGACAAAAAATATTGTGGTCCTATTTATAATAATGCAAAAATTTATAAAAGTAATTTTATTCAGTAATCAAGAGAACTTTGTTTTGTATAATTAATACTAATTATTATAAAAAGCATCAGTATAATAATAAAATAATTTTGTTAAAAAATATTGTGATGTGAAGCCATCTCTGTACTTTGTTTACTCCTTGCCCGCGGTATGAAGTCTAGCGCTGGCCATATAGCTTCGAGCATATATATTTCATAGAGTCCGCATTCAACAGCGTTTGTTTGGGTTAAGAGGGGAAATGTGTAGACACTATTACCGGTGTCGCATCATTTTTACGGGTTTGCAATTAAAATAAATAATTAATTTGATAAATACCTTCAAAATTCTTTAAATTATGCACATATTTTATAAACTTGCATTACTTAAGTAGGTATCTAGTAATGGTAAATTATTATTAATATTATTATTATTTGTGTTGGATACATCAGATTTTTTTAATTCAAACATCAGAAAGTGTATAACGGAAAAATGAAGGTTGAAATAATAGGCAACAAAAAAGATAAAAGCTTATATTTAAAAAGCAAAAATATAAATAAATAGTAGGTATATTATACAAATATTTATGATACACGTGTACGAGAATTACAATACAAGAATTTTTTCCAATAATTTATTAAATATAAAAATATTGTTCGTAAACAATGTTCAATAGATTACTAATAAATACAAATAAAAATCAAGCTAATACTTAGGTACATTTGCCCTACCAGTCCTTAACAAATAAGTGAAGCTTAATTTTTATTGGAAAACTGTCTTAAGCTTCATTTATTTCTTAATTTATAAGGGTGCAAATAAAAGAAGCTTAAAATGACTTTTTTTATTAAAAAACTCGCATTATGCTTTACTTATTTCGTAATGACTAGCAGACTACTTAATTAAAGAACATAAGTACATTTAATAAAAAATAATTATTGTCAATTTTTGTGGTTTATAAAAAATATAGGTAGTATTTGAAAATAAAATGTATGTTGTATTAAAAAGTAATTAGTTACATGTTTTCTAATTCTGCATTTTCTTTTTCTGCAAAAGAGGCTTCATGGTTCAGATCATCACTGAAAAATTCAAAATTTTGAACGATTAACCCAAAAGAAAAGTGCAGGTTTCTTTACCTTTTAGATTCATCTTCTTCTGGGGCCTCAGTAAATCCTAAGGGCAATGCACCTGGAATTAATCTAATTCTTCCTCCGCAACCAGTCTTTGACATTAGATTAGATTTAATTAGGACTATGGGCCATGTGGCCTCCCCCACCTCGACCTTTTCAGATCTATTGTGGATATCCTTTAATCATTGTTTAGAGTACCTTGTCTAATGCGGTATTTTGTACTAGACTCCATAGACTGGGAAATAGTTCTCCGGTATAGCTACTTGCCCTTGGTTTTTCTTCTCCAAGTGTAAGGAATCTCAGTCTTACTAGACCTTCGCAGTAGCACAATACGTGTTCTGCCGTTTCCTCTTCTTCTTGACAGAATCGGCACAAGGCCTCTTCTGTCAGACCGATATTTAACATGTTTGTTAAGCCTACAATGCCCTGTTAATAGACCTACTAGTATTCTAGTATTTTTCCTATTAAGGCTTAGTAGATGCTCGGTGAGTTTAGACGATGGTCCTTTTAAGAACTTTTTGGCCTGTCTCTGTCCTGGTGAGTTTTCCCACCACTCCTGAGATTTTTTAAACATTCACTGCTTTGTGCATGTTCTGATAGTGTTTTTGTTACACCACAGAAGGGTTCTGGGCCAATAAGAGCATTTGAAGCTCCTTCTCGGGCTAGTAAATCAGCCTCTTCATTGCCTTTGTGTCCCCTGTGGCCTGGTACCCAGGCTAAGGTTAGTCTGTTTTGACTACCCAGCTCTGTTAGGGCTTCCAAACAGTCCCACACAAGCTTAGAGTGTACCTGCATGGAACTGAGTGCTTTTAACGTCGCTTGACTGTCTGAGTATATGACAATGGTTTTTCCATTTACCTTCTGTCTTAATACTTCTTTTGCGCAGTGGTGATTAATGCTATTTCTGCCTGGAATACTGTCGCATGTTTACCTAAGCTCAGTGAGATTCCTGTCTTTGGCTTGGTACTATATATACCTACTCCTGAACCTTCATGGGTTTTGGAGCCGTCTGTATACCAGGTGAGATCTGCATGAATAGGAGGTCCTCTCGTCCACGCTTCCCTGTCTGGTATACTTACTTTATATTGCTTTTGAAAGCTATACTTTGGAAGCATTTCGTCTGAAGGCATTCCCATTATTTGGTCGTTCTCCAACTCTTTATATAGCTCGCTGTAGTCGCGTTCATGCAAACTGCTTATGGGCGATGAACCTTTGTGCAGTCTGTATGTGACAGACCTGGCTTCGCCTTGAATGAATATATGTAGTGGTGTTAGGTTTAGCATGACTTCTATAGCTGCTGTTGGAGTCGTTCTCATAGCTCCCGTGGTACTCAGGCATGCTTGCCTTTGAATACCATTGAGCTGTCGAATCGCTCCAGCTTACCGAGTCTTTGGCCACCATACCACCGACCCGTAGGTTATCATCGGCCTTATGACTCTGGTATATAACCACAGGGACATTTTTGGTTGTAATCCCCAATTTTTTCCACACAACCTTCGACATAAGTTGAAGGACGTTGTGCTCTTTTGGGTGACTTTTTGCAAGTGTTGATTCCATGTTAACCTGTGGTCAAAGATGACTCCCAAGTATTTGGCCTCTTGAGCGAATGGAATCTTCACTCCTTTCAGTACTGGTGACTTTAGTCCTGTTGGTACTTTTCGTTTTGTAAAGTTGACTATTGTGGTTTTGTGAGGGTTTACTGTTAGTTCCTCCTCTCTGCATCACTCGTCGATAATGTTTAGAGCGGTTTGTGTGCGCTCCGATATTGTACCTGCGAACTTGCCTCTTACGACGATCGCCAGGTCATCGGCATACCCTAGGCA